CTGCACTACTATGATGGTTTCCTAATAGGTGTTCCTATTACTGATGTTGTCTTCCACAACTCATTATCTATACAGCAGGCAACATGACTAAAAAAAACAAAATAGCCAGGGACAGTGGAGTGTAATCCCAGTGTTTGGAGAGGCTGAGGCAAGGAGGATCACAAGTTCAAAGTCAGCCTCAGCAAAAGCCAGGGGCTAAGCAACTTAGTGAGACCCTGTCTCTAAATAAAACACAAAATAAGGCTGGGGATGTGGCTCAGTGGTAAAGCACTTGCCTTGCATATGTGAGGCACTGGGTTCAATCCTCAGCACCACATAAAAATAAACAGATATTGTGTGTCCAACTAAAAAAAATATTTAAAAAAAATAGGGCTGGGGATATGGCTCAGTGATCAAGTGTCCCTGAGTTCAATCCCTAGCACCAAAACAAACAAACAAACAAAAACCATGTTACTCCCCTACTTAAAATTTGAAATAAAGTGCAAACATCTCACTGTAGCCTACAAGGTCCCATAATATCTATCATCTCCTGTCTCCTTGATTTCATCTCATAGCCTTCATTCCCTCTCCTGCCACTCCATTGTTTTCTGTTGTTCAAACACACCAATCAAAAGGCTTTTGTACTTCTTATACACTCTGGTTGGGTGTCTTTTGCCAAGTCTTTACACAGTTGGCTTCTTCTTGCTATTCCAATTTCAGCTCAGATACCCGTCTTCAAAAAGACCTTGGACTGGGGATGTGGCTCAAGTGGTAACACGCTCACCTGGCATGTGTGGGTCTCTGGGTTCGATCCTCAGCACCACATAAAAATAAAATAAAGATGTTGTGTCCACTGAAAACTAAAAAATAAATATTTAAAAATTCTCTCTCTCTCTCTCTCTCTTTCTCTCTCTCTCTCAAAACAACCAAAAAAAGACCTTGCCTTTCTTGTTGCTTAATTTTTTATCACATTCTTTAATTTCCTTCATAGCACTTGTCATTTTCTGAAATTGTCTCAATCCCTGAAACTTTATAAGTTCCATGAGAGCAGGAATCTTATCTTTATTACCCATAATGCAGTCTCTTGAACCTGGAATTTAATACGGATGTGTAAGTATATACATCGAAATAACTAACAATGCTAATACCTACTTTAAATTATAACTCTAAAGCAAAAAATAAAAAATAAAAAAGAGGGATCTAAGTAATGTATACCTCAATTAATTCATATGACAAGTAGTTATATATAAATTGCACAAAAAAAGTTTTGTAATTTGCAAACAGATTCACTAACAATGTATAGGCTCACCTGTTCTTAACTATGCTTAATATTTTAGCAGAAAATTATTATGTCCATCATATACAGATCACTAAACATTACCACAAAAAATCTCTCTCAATATTTGTAACATAGAATGATACACTGTACATTTTTCCATGAAAATATTTGTATTTATTCCTGACTAATGAGAAAAGATATTGACACACTGGCGCCAGATCAAAACAGCAGTGGTTGAACATAGAGAGGAGAGTGAATTCTTATGTCTACTAACTTTTCAACCATTGAATGCTGTCACCAATTAAATAGCACATTAAATTTAAACTGAACATTTTGTTGTCCATAATATAAATAATTGTTATTAGAATCAAAGTCTAAAATTTTCACCTCACATTGGTCTTTGAGTTCTTATCTTTAAAATTTCTGTTTTGCTTCTGTGTTTATGCCATAATAAATTTTTTGTCTGTAACTATGTGATCTTATATTTTGTTAGAGTGATGCCTCAAAATAATCAGAGTTTTAACAAGTGTTTTTTTTTTTCTAATCAGGAAGTGGGGATTAGCAGAACTAATTTTTTATTGTTACTTTCTCTTATACAAAAGCTCCTCTGTGCTCTCAATATTTCAAAGTTCCACCCTTCCTGAACCCAGAAAATAAGAAACTTTTAGGTTTTGTTTTTAAATATTGGAGAATGAGGGCCATTGCTGAAACTAATAACAATAGAAACTGAACATATAAAGATAAAATTTTGGTGTTTTTAGATTTTCTTTTAAATTTTATTTCTTTACAACTATATTATGAGGTTCAATTACAGAAAATAAAAAGGCACAATCCATTGAAAAGAACTGCAAGTTTCATGTCACTTCACAAACATTTTTTTGGACTTCACATTTATTTTAAAGTAGAAAAAGGTAAGATTTTTATTAAATTTGTACATTATTTATAGTCCTCCCATGCCAACACGCACATACTCAAACGTGGGCACCCACTAACTCTTTGTAAGTGTTCAGCTCTGCCAGAAACCTAAAATCCTTCTATTAGTTTTCTTTCCAATAAAGTGAAATTGTTTGGTGATATAATACTTGCAGTATAAGCCACTATAGGTCTGATGCTACAGTTGTTACACATTATTGAATCTATCTATAGTGAAAAGGCAGCACAAAGGGAATTTCCAAATGCAGCTGCTATTTCCCATTTGTTAAATCCCTTTATTACACCATATAAGTACACAGCTGGGAAATACTATAGAGTGGGAGTTAAAACAAAATATTTTGGCTTCCAGACATTCAGAATACACAAAGACTTCAGTGGAAAGCAAAGCTTGATATCAAAAGAGAGTGAAAGTTTGAAAACATTTCTAGGAGCATGATTTCTTTTCAAACTAACATATAAAATATTTATGACTTAAAACTATTTCATACCATCATAAATTGCATTTAATACAATTTAGTTGATAAAAATTCAATATAAATTACTAATATCTATTTCTGACAAAGTATTAGATTATAAAAGTTTGAGAATAACTCACCAAGCAATTTGGCATTTGCCAAGAAAGAAAATTTTATAAGAAATAATAAATAAATATTTTCTAGAGAAATAAAATTTGAACTGTATTATTGGGTCCAGTTATTTGTATTTGTCCAGTTATTTCTAGTCAAGTTATTCATATTTGTCCATGACTATATATTTGGCATAAAAGCCAAAATGTCTTGAACCTATCTCTTCTCTCCATCCCCTCTTCCTCTATACTAATCCAAGTCACTATCATCTTTCATCTAGATTTCTGAAATGGTAATCCCAATGAGCCTTTCTCCTTTTCAATCATGCTTACTTCCCATCTATTCACTATACCACAGTCAGAATCATCTGTTTGAAATGTTCTTAAATCCTTCAAAGGCTTTTTCAATGGTGTTAGATCAAATCTCGCCTTCATCATGTTGTCTCCAAGGTCCTGTTTGATATGAGGCCCTATTTCATCAACAACATCTGATGCATCCTCATTTATTATACTCCAACCAGAAAGATCATCTTTTATTTCCTTAAATTAAATTATATTTTTCTCACTTCAAATACTTCATTCATGCTGTTACCTTTGCAATTCTTCTCTTTTTGGCACTTTTCCAGGATAGTATCTATCGTCATATAAAATTTTTCCTCCCAGTTTTCCTAACTACACTACAAGCTTTTTGAGAGTAATTAGGTTGATGGTGATCCTAGCCATCTATTCTAAATTAGGTTTGCCCCATTATGTTCTCAGATAACATTATGTTCTTTTTCTTCATAGCATATATCACAACTTTAATTGGGCATATTTGCATGTATATTTATTTAAATTCTATCCCCTGTCCTAGACCCCAAGAAGGCACAAATCATTGTTCACCATGATACAGTCAGTACCTAGCTTTTCTACCTAGTAGAAAGCTTGGTATATGAAAGGTGCTCAGTGAATATTTGTTGAAATAAAAATAAAACATGGCCCCATTATCTTGCCAATGAGCAGTGGCAGTGACTGGATATCTATATCTCATCTATTCTACCTTGGAGATATAATATGATAAATTTAAGTTCAATCAAAGAAACAGACTTTAGTCTTGCCTATTTTACCTTCCCCCTTTTCCCTACTTAAAGAAAATAAATCTTCTAGTGGATCTAATTTTACAATGTTGATTGCCTTCCAAACTAAAATTAGTCAAGAAATGTTTCATTTATCTTCCAATCCCATACTTCTCACCTACTTCTCCAAAGCACTGGCTGTATCTGCAAAATCATCTCAAAAAGAAAAATGTCTCTTCCATAAGTTACTGAATTAAGTCCCTGAGACAGTAAACATACAGCAAGAATTAAAATATGTGTTCTCAGTAGTAAATAGTTTTACTATTTAAATAGTAGATACAGTTTAAATAGTATCTTATTTTTTTATTAAGGAAGAAAAATTTCCTCATGTACCACTTAAAATATTTTTTATTAACTTTCAAAAGTTAAGCAATGAAAAACAGGGTTTAAAACTTCTAATCTAATAAAATATATTAAGTTTTTGGTTTCTTCTGGATTCTAAAACAAACGGAATATTTTTGCTTTATACTAGATAATTAATTTCACTTATTATGATTTCTGTTTTGATGGTTAGAGATGGAAGTCAACTTGGGAAATCTGGCTCTAGTACACTACATTTATATGATATGTTGCTTCTACTTTTAGAGAAAAATGCAGTCTGATTGAACAATACTGAGGAGCTTTACTTGTCCTTTGATATTAATATATAGGGACATAAGTGAGAAGAGCTTCATATAAATCAAGACTAACCATTAAAAATGATAAGTACCTGATTTTCCTTACTGAAGACATATTCACCATATGATCTCATTCACATAGATATATTTGCTTAATTAAATTTTTAAATATTAACATACTTTCCTTGATCATATCTATTCTAATATTACCAAGTTCATCATCTTAAATTCAGGTATTCAGAGAATAAGATAAACAAACCACACCCCATAAAAAATATCAAATATCTTTTAACAAGTTGACCTAATAATTGGACATAAACTAAAATCACAAAACAGTTTCAAAGTTTTCCCAGTTACTAGTATAATAGTAACATATATCTGGTGATTGTTTCATGACATGAGCACAAATAACTCTAAAGCCATATATTTTGAGCTTTCCCTAAAACACCTACATAAAATTAGGACATACTAGAAGACCCACTTGGTAGCAATAACCAGATTTTAAAGCTCACCATTCTTTGCTGAGATGACAGAACGCTGTCCCAGTCAGCATCTTGTTGAATGGTATTGACAAGTGTTGGTAGCTCCTCAGAATGAGGTTTGTTGTGCATTATGGGGTGCAGAGGCAGATGGGAGGCCACATGTTGATCACTGCCCTCTTCCTTTTCCCTTGAGGTCAAATCCTGGGTCATGGCTTCCTCTCCATCAGCTGCACAGGCAAATGGAGAGGTGGCTTGCTTGGAAGACATTCTTCTATAGAAAAAGGAAAATGCCATGAATTCAAAAGGATTTTCAACAACAAAAGAATGAACTGTTCCTTGTATTTGACTAATTCAGAAGAAATAAAGTTCTTTAATTTTAGAGATAGTTAAAGTCTACTCTAAACCACTGATAAAAAAAAAAAAAAAACTTTGGACTTATATGTCCCACTTTCCCCCTGTGGTTTTAATTCTGCACACCTCTTCCCAGAAATTTGTGCATATTTCTCTCTTATCCAATCCATAAATGAAATTCTTACAGAATATGTCTTCACAATGTATGGTATATATGTGTATATATTTTTCCTCCCAGTTTTCCCAACTACACTACAAGCTTTTTGAGAGTAATTAGGTTGATGGTTAGCAATGAAAAGAATGAATGAATGGAATGACAAATGAGTTGGTTTGCAGGAAGATTTGAGAGCAAAAACATCCAATTTTTCCCATGGCTTATGTAAGAACAAAAGAAGTTTATGTACAAAAGTATAATCAAAACAAATAACCCATGATGAAGTCCTAAGCAAATCTGGTCCTTACTTTTTAGTTTTCACCTTTCATTGTGAGTACCAGACTAACACTATTTTACATGGTGCTGCTCTGAAGCTTTCTAAAGACCTTGAAGATCTGTTGATTGTTGTAAGTTATCTTGTAAGTGACTTATTTATTGAGTGGCTTATAATGTTAGATTAGTCTTTAGGCAGTTTTATAGCATTTGAATTAGGTATCTGAAATAAATATACCACTGTTTTATGTTAGAAAGTACATATAAGATTCAAAGCATTTCTTGTGAAAATAGTAAAATGCCTACAATGCAAAATATTTTAAAACCTCCAAAAATAATATTGAACATTCACTTGTGTATCCACAAGTAAACATTGATTATATTCTGCATGACATGGTCTCCAATCTGTGTTTTCATGTGCAATCAGATAATCATGGCCATTAAAAAGAAGTTCAAAATAGTAGAATATCATTTTATGAAAATGAATTTCCTAGCAAAATGGGTAGTAATAAAACCACCAAAAGTTTTAATTTAAGAAAACATTTTTTTCTAAAACTTTATGTTGTTCTTGGTTTATTGTATCTCTAGCTCTAAAACTGCTGTGTAATGAAAGGAATGAAATCTCCACCTTAATTGCTCTTTAACATTAATTGATTTCATACCATTTTTTTAAAAATGCACAAATCAGTTAACATAGGAAACCACATGAGCATTTTTCAAATTAGCAAATCATTAACTTGCTAGTACTGTTTCTACAGACAAATAAATACTGATTAAAGGGTCTAGAAATCTGAGATTAACAGTTAAATTTACAAATCTGTCACATGCTTTCATGAATATTGCAGTGAAGGAAATATCAAGTGCAAAGAAAAATAATTAAGTTAATTCCAATTTAAACAGTAGTTTTTATGTAGCAGCCCATGTTTCACATAGGATTTAACAGCTAATGTTAAATTTCTCACAATTAATGAGGGGGCTCAGATTTAGTATCCTACAGTGAAAAAAAATTAATATAAGATCAGCTAATCTAATTATGCATAGTTCTAAATAAAAGTATTACAGGCTTTTGAAGTGCTTTGAAACATATTAAAATGCTGATACCTACTTAAAATAATCAGTCTACAAATAATAAAATTTCATCTATTAGACTTGATATTAGAAACTAAAATGGGGGAAGAATGCAGAAGAATGCCTATATTTTCTTTGAAGGTAAAGAAATTAAATGTTCTAAAGAATGCTATATCAAAGAATCAGATGCTTGAATGATTTCTATCAGTACCAACAAATGGACATACACAAAAAATGATAACCAAAGAATGTTTACTTAGTATACAAAAATTACTATATGGCTTACTTTATTGGCCCCATAAACACTATAGTAAAACCAGGCAAAAATTATAACTGATCTCTAAGTTTATCAAGAGCTTGCCACAAACAAAAGTGTTTTCATAGTTCAGATAATGACAGCTGATAATGTAATTATTCACATTAAAAACAAAAGAATAAATTTACTGCTGCTTTTTAAAACCATTAAATACAATTGAAAGTCATAATCCAAAACTCAGAGTAACTTTAGCTCCCCCAATAAACATCCTCTTATTATAAAGAGAATTGGCTCTTTCCAATAGCAATATCTTTGATTGTTGCTTTAGCATAAATTAATCATGACACAAACCCAAAATGAAAATAGTCTCTTAAGAATAATTTCAACTATAAACTGCACTAGTGAACAATAGCCCACAATCCTAATTAAACACAACCATGCAGCTGTAAAAATAGCCTAAATCTGTCCAAAGCTATGAGTTGAGTTTAAAGGCTGGTTTTTTAGAGTGTTTTCTTAAGGAAGGCTGGGTCCTCAGTCTTAATCAGCCAATAAATTATTTCCTGCAATTACATTAAATAGAAAATTATCTTCAAATGGGGAGTGTTAATTGAAAATCAAAATTCAGAGGGAAGTTTAGAAATTACACGCTGAATACAATTAGTGAGGAAAGGCTTCACCTCTCCTTCATCAACAGTCTTCTGGTGATTCCTCCAGTGACCATCCAGGAAAGCTACCTATTTATAGCATCACACAATTTGTATTTTATTTTGCACCTACAAATACAAATGTGTATCAAGGTTACAAATAAAAGACAGGCTGCCAAAAAAAAAGTCATATTAAATGTAACTGTTCATCCTCAGTTCACACCATTTTAAGAGGAAAAGGAGAAGAGGGAGGAAAAACAACAATGGTTAACAACCAATGGAAGCATACTCAACTTTGAAATCTCTCCTTTTAGCAAAGGAATTAATGTGTTTTGTCCCTCATTTTATTTAATTTCATGTGTTTTAGTTTATTATAATTCTGAAATATGTTAACAGAGAAAGATTTTTGTTCTTTTGGAAAGTATCTCTGTTTGATAAAATTGTTGGGCCTTTTTCAGGTTTGTTTTTATTTGGGGTTTTGATGTTGAGGCATTTTGTTCCTGATGATGGTTTTGTTTGGTTTTGTTTTTAAGTAAATGTGCACAAATTATTTTTAATACATAGCTTATTTAAATAAACCTTAGATTTGCTGATTATTAGATTCAATTTACTGATTTTATATGCAATTGTTTATTTTGTAATCCTTCAATTTATTGATTATATCCTCATTCATTTTCTTTCTTTAGCTTTCCCTTGTTAAACATTTTACTAGACCAACTGAACTGTATTCTAGAAATTGCAATTCACTTGACTTTTGGTAATACCTATACTACAACCTCTGTACTACAGCTACTCTCCATTAAAAACTCACAAATCAAATATACCTTGTTAATCAATGTTTTAAACATCATGTGGAATGCTTACACTTATTTTAATGCTCACATCAGTAATTTTACATTACAAAATCTTTCACCTCTCCTCCAATGTTTTAGAATAGCACCTTTGCCTAGCTGCTACCATATACAACTAATCAGCAAAAGAAAATAAAAATCTATGCGCAAATGGTCAATTTCTATGTGACTTTACTTTGTTTTATTTTTGCACTATTATAACTTAAAAAATCATTCAAATGAATTGTTTTTTTAATTTGTATTAAAAAAAATCTTCCTAGTTATACCCCCTGAAAACAGGGGTTTATAATGGAAGTGCTGACACAACCCTAACTAAAGCAGCGCAAATGTTGCCGCTATAATACACAAAATCAAGTTCTATTATTCTAAACTATCCTCGCTCATGGGATTTTTCTTTACTGTGCTCCCAGCCAAACTGCTGAAGCATGAAAAATTTAAATGCAATCAAATGCGCCCAATTCTACTTTACTAGAACAAGTGTCTACAGTGGTACAATCTTAAAAGGAGATGCAACAGATTTGTTTGGTGTTTTTTTTAACTGTTTATTTATAATACAGTGCATTGGAGATAAAATAAAAGAGGAAATTACACTCACATGGTACCAGTGTATTGACTACACAGAGTACATTATAATCAGAGAGAAAAACTACATTGTCAACTTATCACATTGGTTAAACAAGATGGTTTTCTGGGGCATAGCTATTATCAAGTAAAATCTCCCAAGAGAATTAAATATCTTTGGGACATATAAAACTGAATTCCCCTCATATGTTCCCCAATTTTGAAATGTCTCTGACCAACAGATCAAGTGAATTCCCAGGATACCAGGCCAGTGGGAAGAACTTCGAGCTTAGGACATTAGAAAATGAGATTGTTGGAGATAAAGCCTCCAATAATTGATATTGGGAAATCAGTAGGAATGCTTCTAAAAAGGTCATAATTATTCTACCCAAAACCTCCAGTATAAAATCTTAATGTTTAACCATTACAAACTGACTCAGACAATAAACTTACTTTCTGTTCTTAAACAATAAATTAGAATTAGTTGGCCCAAGATGTTATAAAACCATCAGGATTTCAAATACCTATATAAAAAGTCCTCTGTTTCATAAAATTATATTTCCTGGAACCTTTCTGATATGATATCGTTATTTTTAAAGTTATTTTTTTAAGTTAGGATTATATTTAAACAAATTTAAACTTTTAAATGTTTTTATAAGGCATGTCACTCAAAATTACATTTTTAAAATTATTGCTTGGAAAGAAACCATCTCTCAAAACTATTATTTGGTACTGTCCAAAAGAGCCATTGAATTCACTGAATTTTATTTATTTTTAAAACATTTTTATTACTTTTATGAGTATTATCAAATGGCCTTCACTTTTTAGGAGTGTTACATTTATTCAAAAGATTTCTGTTTTTTAACATAAAGCAACATTTTAATAGTTGGTTTACTTACAGAAAAAATAAAAAGTTCAGGCCAACATTCACATTTATTTTTGCAGCTCAGCCCTAGGCTACCAAGGGTAGACTTATTTCAGTCAGAATATTCACTGTTAATTTAATGTTGCACTTGATCTGATTCTGAGAAATAAACAACTAATTTTCCAAAAATATAACAGTGCCTCTCATTTTAAGGAGCATGAGTAACAGATATGTTCTGCTGCCAAAGT